GATTTTTTTGAAAATTTGTTATTTTTTTTTTTAATCCATATTATTCAAAGAGAAAATGAGAGAGATGATGATTCTGAGGCCACCCTATCCCAGCCATATTATTCACATATCGAGTCACAACAGCAACAGTGTAGGGATGAGCACGACAGTGCAGGTGAGCATGAAGGATGGACAATCTTCAGGGATTTTAGATTGGGAACACAACAAAACACTAACACTCAGGGATTTGGGAATAGTCAGACGCCTGCAATATCGATGATTCGTTTTTAGATCGAATCAATGAATTGTTAAATGAATTCAATCAATGGCACTAGCGTGACCAAGAAGAACAATAACGTCGTCTATCGTTTTATTTTTAGATCATATGTTACTAATTTTATGTTTTATTGTAGTCCATATATGTTGATATACTTATTCCATGATAATTATATGTTTATCCTTTTGTGTGATGTAAATTAAATGCTAAATGGTGGTTCATGCAGGGAAAGAACATATCAATATTCGCATATTCATTCAAAAACATGAAAATTCTTAATGGAATACCCTCATTTCTTATTGAATTCCTAAAAAAAAATATTTATAATGAATTTTAATAATTTTTTCGGATTTTTTTTAAGCTTTATTCTGACCGATTCACCCGATTCTCGATCCGGTTCGTCGATTCGCCTATCCGGATCGGTTTTTTGGAAGCTCGATCCGTGTCACCGATCCGTTTTTTAAACTATTGCTCTAAACAATCAAATTAGAGCTTTATCTCAAAAATTTTAGTGGAAGAGGTTGTTTTGATGCTCAAATTTCCACAAATTGATCATCTCAACATCAAGATGCATGGACATGAGGAAAAAAAATAAGATTTCAAGTTTTGGAAATAGTGCATCTTGCATTTTTTAGATCGTCAATTTTCAAGATTTTCAACTTTTTATATATTTGTTCGATCTACACTATTTCTGAAGCTTTAAATTTTATAATTGAAGATACAAATATATTTTAAGGCTATCACAAAGATTTTTAGAATTAAAACTACATTTTTCAATAAAAAACATTTATGATATGAGATAAATGAGTTTCTTAGTAGTTATTTTTTGACGGATTCCATTTAGGACAATCAGTTATTAAGGGTTCAATTCGTTTTAGAACAATGAAAGATTGAATTGGATTTTCAATGCCAGAATATTATGAGTCAATAACAAAATAAGATATACCAGTTAATCGGAAGGAAATAAAGATTGCAAGTGGGTAGTGATATATTCAACCATCGACACACTCAAGCTATCAAATTTTACTCTTCTCAGCTTGAGGTATTTGTAAACTTCACGTATGAAAGTACTAACCTTGTGCAGATTAGGGGATAGTATTAACTATGCTATATAAATAGATTAGCTACTATGAGACCATTTATCTTTGTTACAAAGAGGTCACAATTACTTTTAGTCATTATATATCAAATTGAATAGCTCATGGTGTCATGAAGTTCAATTTTTTTAGTTTTTATTTTTTAAAATTTGAGTTTAGTCAATATCGCTCTTACCACTACTAAATTTGAAATTTGATGAACAACATCATTTATGACCTTTTGTACTGAAGGTAAATGGTTTTTTCTAAACTTTTATGTATATAAAAGCAAAAAAACCTCGCCTATGCAATCCCTACATGTAACATTGATCAAAGTCCCATAAAAATTTCGTCGCATATACAAATGGCAAACTCCTACAGCCCAATATTATATCTAACGGGCCAGCGTGCTTTGTGACCTTTGCGTCCAAAAATAACAAACATAACTTCCAATGTATAACGGATGAGGATGAAGGTTTTATACGACCTAGGTTTTATAAAAACGAAATAAAACCCCACTTTAAATCCTCATCGAGAAAGTACTTTTGACAATAGAAATTTTCACGATAGCTCTAAAATCAATTTCTAATACCGACAATATAATTTGAAACTAAAAAAATTGTACAAATCTGCAAGATATGTGAACACTCATTATTATTAGGGTGAGATGGTTTAGATAATTTGTAACCATGTATATTGTTTTTAAAACTTAAAATTTTAATTTCTTTTGACAATTTAGTTATTCTGATAGGGCCCTATCAAATCATTTTTCATATATAATAATAAGTTTTTAATAACTTTTAGTCAATGCATAGCAGGGGGACGGCGATTGGATGAGAAATTTAAAGAGCGCCAGCACTCTCTCTCTCTCTTCTATTCTTTTTGTGACTATTTATAGCACGTCAAAGTTAATATCTCTCTCTCTCTCTCTCTCTCTTTCTCTGAGATTTATAATACCTAGAAGGGATCTCTCAGTCTCTGCGTTGTGTATAACACGCAGGAGTTCATCTCTCTCTCTCTCCCTGTATGTAATATTTATAACTCCAGTTGGCATGCTTTGCTACTTTCGTTAATTACTGCACTCTCTCTCTTTCTCTCTCTTTATAATTCCTAAAATTGGAAAACTTTCTTACTTTTCTTAATTACTATTTTCTCTCTCTCTTTTCCTTAATTATTCTCTCTCTCTGTTGAACACTGGTTGAAGCTAATTCCTTCGTTGAATTCTGGTAATTTTCTTGTCCTTTTATTTTTCTAAATTTTAGTTTTTTTAGTCGGTGTGCTTTATTTTCCTGGCATCTCGTGTTTCAGTTTAGAAACTGGCTTCTTGCTTTCCTTCTTCCTTTGCTTATTACTTTTTAAGTTTATTTAAGGAACTGGGTTCTCTTAGCTTCATTCTTGGATGGTGAAGAACAACTGAACATATCCCTTTCTTGAAACTTGACTCGAAATTTGCTGTATTTTTAAAATATTTTCAATTGTGCTATGAAGGGTTCTTTGAAATTGGTGTATATTATTGCAATTTAGATGCATTGGATGAGTTGTAACTGGATTTATTTGTTTATGGGGTGTTTGGGGATCTTAACTATGAATTATATGGTTGGAGCAAAGCTTCTAAGATAGTTGTGCAAGTTTCTTCTTGTGTGCCGCATGCTATTTATGAATATATTACTATTTTTAATGTATTTTTAGGAATATTTTCTAAGATACGGGGACCTATGACCTCCCTGAAGATATTGGCCTAGAGCAGAATGATGAAGCAAGATTCATGTAGCTGACCCTAATTAATTGGGGAAAGGCTAAAATGATAATGACGATGATGATGTTCCTATAAGTAGGTTAGAATTATGTGAATAAAGCTTGCTTAGCATGTTTTCTGTCGTTTTGGGATTTTCATTGTTGGGGTGATTTGAGTAAAGTAGCTTGATTTGGCTTATACACCATCCTTTCCTGTGAATCTGAACTATGTCTCTGTAAACACAATTGTTACATTCTATGGCCTCTGTGCTCTGCTGTTGATACACCCACTCAGCACAATCTCCATTAATTGGTTTAATTTCTTAAGGGCAACTAAAGAAAAGCTTGATTTACTTAGTCTTTTAAATTTTTGCACTTCTAATGGTATTGCTATTGTTTCTTCTAAAAGGTTTGGTTTTGTTTCTATTTTCTATATATCTTCATCAGGTACCTGTGATATTCAATTAGAATGAGGCAAAGGTTTATCTCTAGTGATTCAACCGATGAGAAATTGGGTTCTCATGGGGTAGCTGAATCACCAGTGGAAGAGAAGAAGCCCTTAAGAATTGAAAAAAGCCAAACTCCAAGGGGTTCAGCTTTTTCATGGCTGGCCCTTCTAGTTGTCTTGGCCCTTGTTTCATGGTTTGTGCATCATGTTCAGTTTGATAGATTGCCACTTCCACTTGATGCTAATCAGGCTGGTAAAAGAGGCTTTTCAGAGTTGCAAGCCTTGCTTCATGTGAAAGCCTTGACAAAGTTAGGTCCTCATCCTGTTGGCTCTGATGCTCTGGATCTTGCCTTGCAGGTATATTTTCAGGTTTATTCCTTAAAATTGTTTTGGAATTTTGGGAAAATTATGCTGTTTTTTTTTATACTGTCAACATTGTATTGATGGAAGGTAGATACAAAAACGACCCGAGGGGTTAACGAAAGAACGTCACCGAGAGGGGTGACAAACAAAATAAACAGAAAAAAGCCACCTAGGAAACCAGAAGAAATAAAAGACAACACCCATATAAAACTATAACATAACAGGCTGCACCGAGGGCTATCCGGTATCGTTACTACTCCAAGGAAGCTCCTTGCTTAGCTAGAGCGTCAGCTACTTGGTTGGCCTTCCTCCAGATATGAGTCCAGGAGAGCTGCATAAGCCTGAAAAGATCAGTAATTTCGTCAAAGAGATGCCACAGTCTCCAAAATGGACGAGATGTGCATGAGAGCCAGGATATAACATTTTTTGAATCCCCTTCAACTATAGGGGAAGAGCCCCATGAGTGGTTGAACAATTTGAGGACTTAGAGGAGGCATGAGCTTCGGCCTCAGTGGAGTCGGCAGTCCCTATTGAAGAAGAGAAGGAGAGAAGGGAAATTCCCTCGGGAGGTCTCCAAAGGGCCAAGCGAGGCACCTTCCTCGGCCTATGAAAGGCCAAATTTTCCCAGTTGAGGTGGATGTTTGAAGTTGACAAAAATTTGAAACGACTAGGTTTTTTTTTTTTTTTGAAGTTGTTAACTGTTGTATTAAGAACAAGAGGAATTACAACGTATCAGCGAGACAGCCTACAGGCTGGGCTTCTCGTCAAAAAATGGGCTAATCCAAAAAGGCCCTATACAAAAAATGGGTGGGGCTTATAAAAAGTGCCCATTACAAAAGATATACAGAGGGAAACAGTGGATCCAAAATGTCGAGACCACAAAAAACACAAGTGAGAAACACCAAAGTAAAAGATCCAGTCCTTGGATGCTTATGGATCCACGTCATGAGCAGCCGGGCCTTCCTTAGCCAGTTGGTCCATCAGGGCGTTTGAGTCCCTCCAAATATGCCTCCATAAGACAGTCGTACCCCTGCAAATGTCCATAATCTCGTCATAAATTGAAGCTAGGTACCAAGGGGGGCCTGACTTTCCAGAAGCCCTTGTGATAACATTTTGGGCGTCTCCTTCCACAATCAGAGGTTGACCCCAAGCTGGGTTGAGTATGTTGAGGCCCGACAAAAGGGCCAAAGATTCTACCGCCTCGGAATCACAGTGGCCAATAGACTTGGAGAAAGTGGTCAGTATGTTGCCTCCATGATCACAAAAGGCACCTCCAACGTCAGTTGGGTCGGGGTTTCCCAACGAGCACCCATCAAAATTTACTTTTGTAAGGCCAATCGGGGGTGGAGACCAGTTGTAGGTTGAAACGGCTATAGCTTGTGGCCCAGAAAATGACAAGGCCCCTAATCGTTTCCTTGATTTTGTGGGTGGGTGCAAAAAGGCCTTGGAAGATTCTTTTATTGTGTTCCTTCCATATGGCCCAAAGAATGGCCACTTCTGAGGCTTTCCATTGCATGGATCCAGATTTAGGCCATAGGAGGAAGGCTGAGAGTAGGAAAAGTTTGGGGATGGACTCAGGGGTTACCCACTCCCATCCGAAGAGTTGAAGAGTATGACTCCAGATGTTGTCCACGAGTGGGCGGTGTAATCATATGGAGAATTGGAAACCAAACTGCATCTGGGACATCTCTATCCAATGAGAAGATGGGCAGTGATGAAGAGAGTGGGTCCACCATTACTCTGGTGGGTACCACTCTCTCTTCATCCTTCATCACTGCCATCATCTCATCAGACGGTAATGACACCAAGTGATTATGAATATATACAGTAATCTATGGAGTTAGTGTTTTCCTGGACGCATATAGTGGATTTCCTTTCTGTCTGTTATGTGTTTTGATTTCTTAAAGGGTATCCATCATGAAATTTTCATTTCACCTGGACACTCGTACTTGATTCTGAGAGTGAGAATGGCTCTTCACTGGATACATAAGATAAGACTTTTCCTAGAAATTAATAAATATTGGTTTCTCATTACTCTTTCATAGCTTGTCATGGAGTTCTACTTGTGGAATTGATTCAGTCCCATAATCCTGTTATGGTAAACTCTCTAGGCTTAGGGGGGGCTAGATACACTACCAATTAGTAGCTTAATTTGCTCTCTTGATTCTGAACTGGTGTATCTTGCACTGTAGTAAAACACTATGCATCTTAATTCAGTCCAACTGTTGCATATGAATTTATGAATTTAGTGCTTATATTTGTAGCTTGTGGCTTTGTGCTAGATGAGGTGTATAATGCTTCAGTTCTTGTGAAGGAAATGAGGTTAAATTACTTAATTTGTGGTTACATTCTCAATCATCAATCTTTTGCATTCTCTATGATCGAATCTATAATTTACATGCTCGGTCTTGTATTTTTATTTTTTGCAAATGTTCAACTGAAGTAGTTTTTTTTTTTTGTCACAGTATGTTTTGGTGGCATCTGAAAACATAAAAAAGGAGGCACATTGGGAGGTTAATGTTGAAGTAGATTACTTCCATGCAGAGCGTGGTGCTAATCGGCTTGTTGGTGGTCTCTTCAAGGGAAGAACACTTCTTTATTCAGATTTGAAGCATGTGGTTATGAGGATCTCCCCAAAGTATCATTCAGATGCAGAGGAAAATGCAATTCTAATCTCCTCTCACATTGATACAGTCTTCTCAGCGTATGCCACTTCATTATTATCTTCGCTAAAATGTATTCTTGACTTTGGGAATCTGTTTGAATTCAGTTATGTACCAACTAACAATATTCTTGATGAGTACATGTCGACTCTCAAGTTTTTATCTAGAAAGTATACTATATTTCAATGGATTATGGTGTACTCCAAGCTTCATCATTTGGAAAATTGTTGGAAATTAACTGTAATGGGGTGATTGTGCCAGTGGGCCATCCACAGTTAATCTCTAATGTTTGTCAATGTCCCTTTGGGGTACTGTATACTATGCTCACTTAGATTACGGTATACTTTCCCCTACAAAGTGAGATCCTGTGTAAGTGAGATGCTTTCAATGCCAATATAGCATTTCTCCTGTATTCCTCTTTTGCTGTAGCAATTATTATAATCGTTTGTATGTCTTTGTATGTCTAAAGAAAATCATAACAGTTTGGTGTTCGTAGTTTCATGTAACTAGCTGGAAAATATATAGGCGGTTGAATTATGCAGTTATCTTTGCTCATTTCCTTGTGGATGAAATAAATGACCTCTTGGCTTTTATGACATTTAGGGAAGGTGCTGGTGACTGTAGTTCTTGTGTGGCCGTGATGTTGGAACTTGCCAGAGCTACATCCCAGTGGGCTCATGGATTTAAGCAGGCTGTTATCTTTTTGTTCAATACTGGGGAAGAAGAGGGCCTTAATGGTGCTCATAGCTTTATAATCCAGGTACTTGCTCTCCATAAATTACTTTTATTTTTATTTAGACAGGTTAATTGTAATCTTGACCATTTTTGAAGCATTTTACTTGTTAATGTCTGATCCATTGGATTATAATTTAAAGTTGCTTGTCTTTCTTGTAGTTTTCATTTATCTATACATATATTTATTTTTCAATTTTTCTATTTCATCTCATATTTTTCCTTCCTCTTCCTATCTCCATTCTGGCTTACCTTTCTATTCCACATAAGGTCAATTCTTACAGTCTACAAATTAGTGTTCACTGTGGAATTTTGTGATTCTGGACCGTAGTCTTATGAATCAGTTATTGCAGCATCCATGGAGTGAAACTGTACAGTTTGTGGTTGACTTGGAGGCCATGGGAACTGGAGGAAAATCTGCCATATTTCAGGTGGCTGCCCTGTACTTGCTAATTGCTTGCATCTGAAATTGATGTTGATTTTCCAAAGCTGTACAATTCTTCTTGTTTCCTTTTCACAAAAGTCGTCTGTTATATTTCATAAATTTTCATCTGTTTGGAAACAGAGTGGCCCCGATCCATTATCCATTGAAAGTTTTGCTGCAGTAGCAAAGTACCCATCTGGACAAATCATTGCACAGGTCAGTGATTTCCCATTATTCGTATGCCTCATCATTGGTTTCTTTGTATGCTATTTAATGTAAGCTCATTTGCAAATTCATATCTGACATATGCCTTCTGTTATTTAGATCAACAGATGATTGCTTCATCACTGCAGATTAGACTAGTATATTGCTAATGACTAATGAGTAAAAGTTGCTTATAGGAAGAACAATGAAAAAACTTCTGATATTTCTAGCAGTTTGAAAGTATGATTTCATTCTCTTATTTAAAGCAAAAAGTTAATGGTGTTGCTCAGTCTTGGTCAATGGGCTTAAAATTTGGTTGTTACCTTTGTTGCAGGACATCTTCCATTCAGGGATAATAAAATCTGGAACTGATTTTCAAGTTTATAGAGAAGTTGCAGGCCTTTCTGGTCTTGATTTTGCATATGGAGATGTTGGTGCTGTTTACCACACCAAGGTTTGGATTGCGATAACTATTGCTCAGTATATTGAGAAGTTTAATTCAAAAAAGAGAATCCTTTTTCGTTGAATGTTTACTTCATCCAACAATTAGAGAGAGCATATGATTTGAATTCCGTCTTTTTTTTTTCTTTTAGAAAATTTATCCAAATGCTCATGAGAGATGAACTATTTAACATTTTTCCTCTATCATTTGATTTAATTTGAAAATACCCATCCAAAGACACATGATCATGAGTTAAGTACAAATGTGTGAAGTGTCGAAGGTGCATCTCTCTTTGTATTTTAATAAATTTCCATTTTTTGTGTTTGGGGGGGTAGGGGGGCGTTAAATAGAGTGAATTTTACTGCTGTGAAAGGAGGCAGAGGCTGCATCTTTTGTTTTGCACAAGAAATGTGAGATTCATGCAATTGAGTCAGCACAGACAATATTTATGATTGAGGACTATAAATTGGCCCCGAGTTTTATTTTACCTAATGTTTTAGCTTGCTTACTGGATGTTTTGAACTAAGAAGATGCCTTGATCTTCATGCTTGCATATGTTGCTTACTGAGTCATCTTACAGTCTTTGCCAAATGCAGAATGACAAATTAAAGCTTTTGAAACCAGGCTCTCTTCAACATCTTGGAGAAAACATGCTTCCCTTTATACTTAAAACTGCAACCATGCCGCCCCTTCCAAAAGAAAAGGCTGGGGGAATCAAGGAAGATAGAGGCCATAACCAGATGGTTTTCTTTGATATTTTGGTAAATGGGACTTCGCCTTGTCATAATGCTTCCCATCATTATTTGGTTACCAAGTTTGACATGTCATTGCCGTTATCCTTGTAGAATTCAATGCAGATGATGCCGGGTTGGCCATGTTTATAGTTGAACATTTATTAAAATTAAACTCCTCGATTTTAAGCTATTATTGAGGGAGGGAGGAACGGAGTGTGGGAGGGAGAGCTTGGGCATGATTTCTTGATCCATTCTTCTTGTTTTTGAATTTGCAGGGGATGTACATGATTGTCTACCACCAAAGTCTTGTGAATATGCTTTATGGTTCTGTTATATTACAGTCTCTTCTGATATGGACTGCATCGTTGGTTATGGGTGGTCCATCATCTGTGATCTGTTTATGCATATCCATGCTGAGTGTTCTTATGATGTGGGTCTTATCCATAAGCTTCTCTGTACTTGTTGCCTTTCTCCTACCTCGTGTTTGCTCCTCCCCTGTTCCATATATTGCAAACCCATGGTTAATTGTTGGCCTATTTGGTCCGCCTGCAATAGTTGGTGCTCTACTTGGCCAACACCTTGGTAGCTTCTTTCTGCAAAAGTTTTTACTCTCTACTTATTTGAAGATCGGATCCAAGAAACCTAATTATGTCAATTCGATCAAATGGGAGGCTCAAAGGTGGCTCTTTAAGGCAGGATTTGTTCAATGGCTGATAATTCTAATAACAGGCACCATTTGCAAAGTTGGTTCATCCTATTTTGCTCTTGTTTGGTTAGTTTCACCTGCTTTCTCTTGTAAGTCAACGCTGCTTCTGGTGGTTTCTTATATTCTAGAATCCATTATTTGGCACCTCTTTTTTCTCTCTATAACCCTAATATCAATGATGTGCAGATGGTTTGTTGGAAGCTACATTGTCACCCATTCAATCACCGAAACAGCTGAGGACTGTGACTTTGGTGATTGGTTTGGCTGCACCCATCATAATAACTGCTGGTATTGTTATTAGGTTGATGGGAACAATAATAGGGACTGCAGTTCGCGTTGATAGGTAATTCACTCCCTTTTTCTTTGAAGATATAAAAATAGTGCCTGGAAGATCAGGCTATTCCCTACACGGTACTTTTTAATCACTCAATTAATGAGAATCATTGTTATTCTACTTGAGTGCCCTCTGGTGGGTTTCTCAAACTACTAAATCGGTCAGCTAAAAATGAGTTGTTTTTCTAGGAACCCTGGCGGCACCCCTGAGTGGTTGGCAAGCGTAGTAATCGCTACATTGGTTGCAGCCATTGTTTGCCTGACCCATGTGTACCTTCTCTCTTATGCACAGTTTCCAGGTCGTCTTTGCAGATTATTTGTAGCTTGTCTTTTGTGTTTCTAATTCTATCTTTTGTAATTTAGGAACCTAAAAGGCAATAACAAAGAATTTCCCTTTGATATATTGTTTTTAAAACTGGAGTTGATTTCTTTGTTGGTCTTGGGATAGGTGCCAGGAGGTCAATAATCTTAGCAGCTTTTGCACTATTTGGGATCACGTTGGCTTTTGTAGTGGCTGAACTTATCCCTCCATTCACTGAGGATGTATCCCGAGCTGTGAATGTGAGATCCTGTAGCTTATGATCTGAAGTCTTCCTTTTCATGAAGAGATAATCAAATAGACTATGGAATTGTAGCCATAGAGTTCATCAATGTCCAATGACATGATGTATGGTGATCGCGAGAGATTAGATTCACAGCCTGTTCTGGTGGGCTCTGCCCTTTCTCTATACTGCCATCATTTCAGTGGATGCTGATGACACTAATGGACGATGGTTTTCTCATAGTCTATTCGATTATATTGTGCTTTCCCTTCATTTCAAGTGATCACATGTTTTGCCTGTCAATCTGATAGCAACCTTCACTATGGCGATGATGTGTTTTTCTATGTTGTTGTCTTAATAGAGATACTATCATCATTATAAACATGAAGGGAAATATTAATTAAATCTTCTCATTTCTTTGACAAGTGAAAAACCATAACTAAATGAAAAGAGCATGCGAAGAATGAGGAAAAAGGGAAAACCTAAGGTGGTATGATCTCCCAGATTCCCTCAGAATTCCTTCATTTATGCCCATACTGGCTTAACCATCTACAATACTTGTTCTCACTATGTTATTTCCCTAGTTTTCCATAAAAATATTATGATATTTGTTTTCTGTTATTTGCTAATTTAAACTCCCCTAGAACATAGCATTTGGTGTTCAATCTGATCTAATTTTTGTATGAGAACCTGATTTTTTTTTTCTTGTAGAATACTAAAAGAGCATTGTCTTTTTTCAAAATTCACAGGTTTTGCATGTTGTGGAGACAACTGGAAAGCAGGGTGGAAAACAAAATCCATTGTCATATGTTTCACTCTCATCTGTGACACCTGGAAAACTGAAAAAAGAAGTCGCTTCTTTGGAAAATGAGGGATTTGTTTGTGGAAACAATAAGACACTGGACCTTGTTACATTCACTGTACATTATGGTTGCTTTAGTTCTGTTGATACTGGAGAGGGGTGGAGTAAATCAGAGCTCCCAATAATGCAGATTAAAAGTGACCTCCAAATGGATGGGAGGGTTACAACAATTTCAATTGATACCAAAATTTCAACACGTTGGTCACTGGCAATCAACATGGAAGAAGTTGAAGACTTCAGCATTGAAGGTTAGTATTGGTTGTGAAAGCAACTATTGAAGCAATAGTATTGAGGCCCAGTGTTTCAAAAAACGCTGGGCAGCCCCTAGACGGCTGAGGTGGTCTAGGCCGCTTGCGCCTATGCAGGTGCCCAGTGATCTAGGCGGCCTAGGTTCAAAAGGCGGCAAGGGGTGTCCAAGATCATGTTTTAGGTTCAGATTTTGTATAAAAAAATGCACATTCATGCATTTTTATAATCCAAATGAAAAACACCAATGGGTAATTTTGTACCTAGCGGGGTGCAGTCCCTGGGCACCTAGGCACAGCCCACTTAGTTGGTCCACCCCAGCCTGGGCGATGATGGACTACTTTTTTCTGCTATGTTTAGACTAGATCAGGCCAGCCGGTCCGATCATTTGGACTAGGAATTGGGCTTGGAACCGGTCTACTTAATCACTGAATTGGTAATTGGTCAAAACATGTCTGAACTTGACTAGTTCAAGTTGTTCAAAATATTGGATGGCTGAACTGCTGGCCTGTTGAAATAAGTTTTGATGGGGTTCAGATCAGTTTTTGACAGTTTTTACTAGCTCTTTTTATTTTTATTATATTTTCTAGACTGTTTTAACTGTTGAACTGGCTGGTCATAATGGTTTGGACTTAACTTGTGCCCTCACTGGTTCAATGACTGGTCCAGTCTTGATATCATTGATTTGAAGTGTTCTTTGGTTTGATTGTATTGTGAGAGTTTCTTTTGTGCTTCTTGTGTTTTGTGTTCATTGCTGTTTCATGAATCTCATTGGTTTGCATAATCACTACATTTGATTCTTTTGGTACTTGATGAGAAGGGTCCTATGTACCCACTTGTAAAATTTCTTCAAGATAAGTATGCTAATGCATACATATCTTGTGGTCGCATACCCAAATAAGAAGGCAATATTCATTAGCTCATAACAATAAGTATTTATATTAGGTCTTAAAATAAAAGAATAAGCATTTATATATTTTTTTGCTTCCTTTTCACTGATGTCATGTATTCATGCGCATGCAAGCAAGAAGCCTTTTGTGTAATATATCTAAGCATTTTGGTTTTCATTCCACAGAGAGCTCCAAAGAACTGGTACCAAGGGACAAGAAGTTCAATGTTGATGGTTGGCACATTATACAATATTCTGGTGGGAAAAATTCCCCTACAAAGTTTGACTTTACACTTTACTGGTTAAAAAATAGCACCCCATCAAAGGCAAGGCCTAGAAAGAAGACACAAGATTCTCATCTCCTCTTAAAATTACGGACAGATTTGAACAGAGTGACACCTAAAGTTGCTAGGGTACTGGAGAAGCTTCCCATTTGGTGTTCCCTTTTTGGGAAATCCACTTCTCCATTTACTTTCTCTTTCTTATCCAGTTTAGAGGTTGATTTCTAGGTGCACAAGAACATATTCAGGTTTTTCTTGTTTAGAGTTGATTTTTAGGTGCACAAGTAAGTATGCAGGCTTAAAGATAAGTAGGGAACTTGCAGAGTTCAGGTTTTTCTTGTTTAGAGTTGATTTTTAGGTGCACAAGTAAGTATGCAGGCTTAAAGATAAGTAGGGAACTTGCAGAGCTGTAGTGTCTCTTGGTTTCCATTGTTAAGTATCATGAGGACTTAATTTGACCTGTAATTTTTTTTTAATTTTGGGTTTGCGAGGAGTAAGAGTTATAACTTATTTTTATCATTATATGTGATTACTAATTATTTCATTTGAAGAAACTGTGTGCTTAATCTGGTTTGTTTGTTGTTAGTGGTGGTTAGCTTTGAATTTTCATTAATGGAGATCAACAGTGGAGAAAAATTTTCACATCGGAGCAAGAATATCTTTTGTGGGAGATTTATAAGAGTTTGATTTTATCAGATATTTATGAGAAAAACTTTGGAAGGTAGAAAAAACTACAAAATTGCAAAAACACAGTCTTGTTCACTATGGCTACTAGTATTTCTTGATTTAAAATGTTGAATAAAATCTGTAACAACTTAATGACATTGAAATAACAGTTGATGCCTTTTAAAAATGAATTGAATCAAACCAAATACATTTTTTTTCGTTAGAATACAGTCTGAATTTGGAACAAGTATAAACATAAATTGGACATTTTTATTCTTCTTAAATAACCGAAAATAGGCATTTCTCTCACAATTGGGATGCCAAGTTAAGTTGACGAATTTGACCAAACTGAAATTGATTTGTTAGGGGAAAGCATACGATAAGATTTTGTACTTCGATACCAAAGGTCACAATTATCCCTTTCTATTGAATGTGAAATTGTAGTACGATATCAAAGGTCACAATTATCCCTTTCTATTTAATGTGAAATTGAGTGGCTAGGGATGTAAAAGTTCTAATAGTAAATATGAAATTGAGCGGTTTGGTAAGAAAAATGAAATACTTTGGT